CTCCTCTCCACCACCCGCTGAGCTCCGTCTAGAATGTACTCCTCTCCACCACCCGCTGAGCTCCGTCTAGAATGTACTCCTCTCCACCACCCGCTGAGCTCCGTCTAGAATGTACTCCTCTCCACCACCCGCTGAGCTCCGTCTAGAATGATCTCCTCTCCACCACCCGCTGAGCTCCGTCTAGAATGATCTCCTCTCCACCACGTGCTGAGCTCCGTCTAGAATGATCTCCTCTCCACCACCCGCTGAGCTCCATCTAGAATGAACTTCTCTCCACCACCCACTGCGCGCCACTTAGAATGAACTTCTCTCCACCACCCGCTGAGCTCCGTCTAGAACAGTGGTTCTCAACTGGTGGGTCGTGACCCAAAAGTGGGTCGCGACCCCATGTTCAGTGGGTCGCCAAATGCCTTCCACTTTTGTAGGTGAGATGCTCCTCAGCCTCTCCCTAGTGCAGCACTCGCACCAAGCAGCCATTAAAATTATGCTACCCGGCACCAAGTGTCAGCTTGAGGTGGGCTGGGGGTATGGCCGCGAGGGAGCTCCATCCATACATGCATTGCTTACAGCTCCCTAGTGTGCCCTGTAGAGGTGCCTGGACCGGAGTGACATCACATTCTGGCTCCTGGCACCTCTACAGGGCACACTAGGGAGCTGTACAAGCAATGCACATGTGGATGGAGCTCTGTCACAGCGCAGCAGCCCACACTGGACCTCAGACTGAGGATCCACTCCAGTTCTTGTAAGGTAGGGAGACTGGGTGGACCTACCATGTGTTTTGGTGTGGGAGGTGTGTTGTGTTGCCATTCATTTGAATAGCACCCCAAACGCACCTGCCACCCACAGTCCTATTGCCTGCACCGGAATGTGTGGTACCGTAATGCTGTGCATTCCATTGCAGTGCGCCTTGGGTCACGACTTAATGACCTAGGACAAATGTGGGTCCTGAGGTTACACAGGTTGAGAACCACTGGTCTAGAATGTACTCCTCTCCACCACCCGCTGAGCTCCACCTAGAATGCACTCCTCTCCACCACCCGCTGAGCTCCGTCTAGAATGTACTTCTCTCTAGAGCTGCAACAGTTATTCGATTAAAACCGACGATGGAAAATGTTGTCAACGTTTTCCATCGTCGATTCGTCGGCTAAAATTCAAATTTCCCGCTCGCCGCTGCACGCCGCTTACGCCCGCCATTTACGCCCGCTGCTTACGCCACGCCCACGTCCTTTAAGCCGCTCGCGCCTACGCCGGTATACCCGCTTACGCGACGCCGCTTACGCCACGATGAGGACATGTGTCTGGCCCTCTCATCCCGGTGAGCTGCCCGATTCGCCGCTGCCCGCCGACATGATCAACGCCGCTGCCCGCCGACAACACCAAGGTAAGTGGAGATCGGCCTTTTTTTTATACTTCCACCGCGCCAAGCTTGCTCCCGTGATGGACTACAATCTCAATAGAAACTAGTAGTCCATCACTGGAGCCTTTTTTTAAAAATCCGATTAATCGAACTTAATAATCGGCTAACTAATCGATTATTAAAATAATCGTTAGCTGCAGCCCTAGCTCTGTCTAGTATGATCTCCTCTCCACCACCCGCTGAGCTCCATCTAGAATGTACTCCTCTCCACCACCCACTGCGCGCCACTTAGAATGTACTCGTCTCCACCACCCGCTGAGCTCCACCTAGAATGATCTCCTCTCCATCACCCGCTGAGCTCCATCTAGAATGTACTTCTCTCCACCACACGCTGAGCTCCGTCTAGAGCGACCTCCTCTCCACCAATTGCTGAGCTCCATCTAGAATGATCTCCTCTCCATCACCCGCTGAGCTCCATCTAGAATGTACTTCTCTCCACCACACGCTGAGCTCCGTCTAGAGCGACCTCCTCTCCACCAATTGCTGAGCTCCATCTAGAATGATCTCCTCTCCATCACCCGCTGAGCTCCATCTAGAATGTACTCCTCTCCACCACCCGCTGAGCTCCACCTAGAATGTACTCCTCTCCACCACCTGCCGAGCTCCATCTAGAATGTACTCCTCTCCACCACCCGCTGAGCTCCACCTAGAATGTACTCCTCTCCACCACCTGCCGAGCCCCACCTAGAATGTACTCCTCTCCACCACCCGCTGAGCTCCGTCTAGAATGTTCTCCTCTCCACCACCCGCTGAGCTCCGTCTAGAATGTACTCCTCTCCACCACCCGCTGAGCTCCGTCTAGAATGTACTCCTCTCCACCAACCACTGAGCTCCGTCTAGAATGAACTCCTATCCCCCACCCGCTGAGCTCCATCTAGAATGATCTCCTCTCCACCACAAGCTGAGCTCCGTCTAGAATGATCTCCTCTCCACCACGCGCTGAGCTCCGTCTAGAATGATCTCCTCTCCACCACGCGCTGAACTCCGTCTAGAATGATCTCCTCTCCACCACGTGCTGAACTCCGTCTAGAATGTACTCTTCTCCACCACCTGCTGAGCTCCGTCTAGTATGATCTCCTCTCCACCACCCGCTGAGCTCCGTCTAGAATGTACTCCTCTCCACCACCCGCTGAGCTCCGTCTAGTATGATCTCCTCTCCACCACCCGCTGAGCTCCGTCTAGAATGTACTCCTCTCCACCACCCGCTGAGCTACGTCTAGAATGTACTCCTCTCCACCACCCACTGAGCTCCATCTAGAATGTACTCCTCTCCACCACCTGCTGAGCTCCACCTAGAATGTACTCCTCTCCACCACCCGCTGAGCTTAGTCAAGAATGTACTCCTCTCCACCACCTGCAGCGCCTTCAATGTACTCCTCTCCACCACCCGCTGAGCTTAGTCAAGAATGAACTCTTCTACACACCATATAAGCTTTGTCTAGAACGCCCCACCCCCAAATGGAGTGTTACAAACATTACGTTTATTTAAAGATAAAACGGCATGCACAATTTTTTGCAATCGCACTGCACTGGAACGCACAGCATCACGGTACAGTGCGGGCGGTGCGTTTGGGGTGCCTTTGAAATGAATGGCACTGCAACACACCTCCCGCAGCAGAATTTGAAACTGAAAATTACTTATTTCCCACCTTTTTATATTTGTTTTCTTAATTACGCTTACAATACGTAAGCACATGGAGCTGGAATAGCTTCAGCCCGGGAACGACGGCTGCCAGTGGTGAGATTAGGTAGACGGCCCCTGAATGTAAATACAGCAGGTAGCGGGCGGGTGCAATAGCCAATAGCTGGCTGGCTGTAGTGTCCGCCCAATGCTTGGTGTGCCCTCCTCCCAGCATGAAGGAGAGAGCTCGGGGATCCAACCAGCTAATTGATGATGAGAATAGTTGACAACTATTCTCATTATCAATTAGTTGGTTTTAGCCCTACCCCCCTTTGAGGTCCATCTAGAATGAACTCACAACTGTGGCAGTTGCAATGGCATTCCCGGACAGCGGTTTCCTCCTAGGCCCATGTCACAGGAGTGTGGCAGCCATTAATTTTCAGGCTAATGCAACGCAGTGTGGAGGGAGGCGGTTTGTGTGTTTTTTTTTCTATTATGAAAATTGATGTGTGGAAAAATGGCGGAGTGACATTCCTTGTACCTGGCTATCATAGCTGTGCTCCTACCTGGAAGTCTGGAGGACATCACCTGTCATAAGATAGGAATCCATCATGTGCCACACAGACATCCCCATCACTCTACAGGGCCACAGATCACACAGAAGGGACCCCCTATCACTCCGCAGCACCACACATCATACAGAAGGGACCCCCAACAGTTTAATAGACCACTTATTATATAGAGGAGACACCCATCACTCCAAAGCACCACACGTCATACAAAAAGGACCTCCCACCAACACACATCATACAGAAGAGACCTCCCATCACTCAACAGCACCATACAGAATGCCCCCCCCCCCATCCCTTTAGGGGGCCACAAATCATACAGAAGGGACCCCCATCATTCCACAGCATCACATGAACAGTTGATACCCCCATCAGGGTAAAGGGCCAAAGTTCGTTCAGGACCCTCCCCCATCACTCCGCTATACAGGAGGGACCCCCCCCATCACTCTGCCATACAGGAGGGACACCCCCATCACTCTGCCATACAGGAGGGGCACCCCCATCCCTCTGCCATACAGGAGGGACACCCCCATCACTCTGCCATACAGGAGGGACACCCCCATCACTCTGCCATACAGGAGGGACACCCCCATCACTCTGCCATACAGGAGGGACACCCCCATCACTCTGCCACCCTAAATAAGAGAAAAGGTCCCTACAGTATCAGGGGGAACATATAAGACAGGAAGGGCCACACACACGAAGCTCCTTTTGTCACTGGTGCCCCTTTAGAACCAGGGGCCCCCATTGACCAGAGGAAGCAGCAGGTAGCATAGCAGGGCACCATCGCTCCAGGACCAATGCGTCCCCAGTCGGTGTCACCCGGCACCATGAGGGCCACACACAATGGCGGCGAACAAAGAGGGGGGGGTGTCTCTCTCTCACACATACACTGCAGTAGGTGGGGGGAGTCACCCTTCTCTATATACTCACCGACCCCGTGGTGGCAGCGGCCGGTAGCTCTAACCACCTTCGACTCACACCCCGCACAGCTTCCGCTAGCCGGGTTTCCGCTTCCGGGGCGCTCCCGCCTGAACACAGCGCGCGGTTTTGCCGCCAGTGACGTAACAGCCGAGGGTCAGCGCGCAGAAGCGTGAAGGAATGGGCGGGAGCTACAAGGGGAAGAGCTGCAGAGAGACCACCGGCGGATCTTATTGGAAATGAGCGGGACAGGGCGACCACTAAAGGAAGAGGCGGGAACTGCAGGGGACCAGAGCTTATTGGATAAAGGAGGGAGAGGGCGGCCACTAGAGGAGGAAGTGGGAACTGCAGGGAACCAGAGCTCATTATATAAAGGAAAGAGAGGGCGGCCATTAGAGGGAGAGAAGGGAACTGCAGGAGACGCCGATCTCTTAATAGCCCCTTGTGTGTCACTTTCATTAGTGTCCCCTCATCCCACCCTGTATGCTGTCTCATTTATTAGTGTCCTCTTCATCTCCCCCCGTGTGTCTCATTTATTAGTGTCCTCTTCATCTCCCCCCGTGTGTCTCATTTATTAGTGTCCTCTTCATCTCCCCCCGTGTGTCTCATTTATTAGTGTCCCCTTCATCTCTCCCTGTGTGTCTCATTTATTAGTGTCCCCTTCATCTCCCCCGTGTGTCTCATTTATTAGTGTCCTCTCATCTCCCCCTGTGTGTTTCATTTATTAGTGTCCCCTCATCTCCCCCGTGTGTCTCATTTATTAGTATCCTCTCATCTCTCCCTGTGTGTCTCATTTATTTGTGTCCTCTCATCTTCCCCTGTGTGTCACATGTATTACTGTCCTCCCATCTTCCTGTGTAATTATGTAGCATCCCTCAGAATTACTCCATGGACACGTTGCAGGTAATCGTCCATCTTGGATTCTTTAGATAAGTTGGATCTATATACTTCATATATCAGTGCACCATCCTGATCCCTAACCCTGTGTGGCTGTGGGGTCTTCTGTGGCCGCAGCAAATCCGGTCTGAAGGCCTTAGCCCTCGTTCACACCTGAACGTTTTGTATCGCGTTCTACGCTCGACGAACGCTCTACAAAACGCTCAAAAATATAAATCCCATTGTATTCAATGGTCTCGTTCCCACCTCGGCGTATTTCCGCCCGTCCCTAACGCGCTACAAAACGGCCCATGCCGGAAAAGGTACAGGTACTACTTTGGGCCGTTTTGTTGCGCGTTTCCATTGGGATACAGCCAAGTAGCCTTTGGAAACGCGCATTTGTCACGCAACTTTTTGACCGCGAATCGCTGTAAAAAAACGCGCGCCTGCCGCGCATATGCAATACGCCTAGGTGTGAACGAGACCTGAAAGCAACCCTGTCAGGGTAAAAAAACACTAAAAGCATCTTCCTGTAATAGAAAAGGTATTTTATTCAGCTGTCCACCGGCCTCTGTCAGAGTCACACTCGTCTTGTCCCCAGTCTAGTGCTGGGTGTTCTCTATGATGTATGGCTGTCAGTGGTTCCGAGTTCCACACAGAGTACCGGCAGCAGATCCAATCAGTTCCCAGATGCCGCCTTAGAGGGCTGGCGGACGCACTGCTTGGCATTTCAGCAACACGTTGCTATGCCTAAGCAGAGCCCTCCTTACCTCCAGTGTCTGCTCCAGTGACCCCTGCACTCCTGTGCCTCCAGTGACCCCTGCACTCCTGTGACCCATGTGGACTCCTTAGCGAGTCACAAGTGGGGAGAAGACTCGGGATAACACCGGGGAGCGACGTGTTTCGAGGAAACCTCTTTCTCAGGCTCTAATGGTGTTGTAAGTGCCGGTTTTAAAAGATGACAGCTGGGCGGGGCTTAGCGACAACTTCGCTGTATCGCGTGTACAGGTGGATATAAGTGTAACACCTAGTTGGCGGCTAAGGACACCACAGGGTACAAGTGGATGTCAAGAATAAACGATCAGAGAACTCCAGAGATGGCGTTAGTTATTTTGATCGATCAGGGGGCAAAAAATTATGTTTAATTACTCGTCTAGTGTATGGGGAAAACGTTATAAACCACTAGTAATCGAAGGTGGAGGAGGGGGAAGATGTTTTTATTCTTATTTGGAAAGAGTTGGGAAGATGATGTTCATACATCATCTTCCCAACTCTTTCCAAATAAGAATCCCCACTTGTTCTTCTCCCCACTTGTGACTCGCTAAGCAGGCTACTCTCAAATAGCCTTTTTTTACAGTTTTATTACAGTGTTTTAACAGCCTCTTCCCGTACACAGTCAGACGCTACATGCGCCGTCGTTACCAGACCCTTAGGGACAGGACTGCTCTCCGCTCCAAGCACTGTCCTGACAGCTGCAGAGAGACGGGTGCTTGTACAGCCGAAGCACCACCAAGTCAAATCCAGCGTTCCACCCACGCACCGTCCCCCTTTTCAGTCCACACAAGAGGGATACGGATACAGTCCCAGCACCACCTTGTCTCCCCTCCTGGCCATCAGTCTTCCATTCTTCAAACTGCGGCTGCCAGTTCCCGCGACTACTTCAATCCAAGCACCCTGGACCACTCGATCCTTCTAGAAGGCCTCCCCTCTCCTGGTCCTCTCCCACTCAAACGTAAGTGTGGTTTTTCCTTTACACATCTGTCAGCACCAATGTTTTAAACAGGTACCCTGCAAGGTTTGCGCCCTGTTGTGAGATTTTTTTATGTTATACACAGGCCTGCCCAGGACTGTCAAGACTTGCACCATCCGATGTAAACAAGCAGTGGAACCACAGCCATTGGATCGAGGTATTAGGGATGCACCGATAACGGTATTTTGGTACCGAGTACCGATAATTTTTTTTCCGGTACTCGCCGATACCAATTACCGAGTACCGGAAATCCCATTCAGAAAGCCAGGCGGCGTGTAATGACTCGCCACCTGGCTTCCTGATAAGCCGGGCAGCGTGTAAAGATTCCCGATTAACAAGAAAGCCGTCCCAGCCTGTCCCCCCTCACCTTCAGCCTGGAACGGTCTTCCTCCCGTACCCATCCGGAGCCGTCTTGCTGGCCAATCGTGGAAGCCTGGCGCTGGGTAATGAGGCGGCGCCCTGCTTTCTGATTGGACAAGAGGCCGGCTCCATGCTCCCTCGTCACGAGATGACGAGGGAGCATGAAGCCGGCTTCCCGGCCAATCAGAAAGCGTTATTACACGGCGCCCGGCTTCCTGATACAGGAAGTACTCTGACTAGGCATCGGAGCATTTGGCCGAGTATGAGTACTTGCCCAAATACTCGGTATCGGCACTGATATCGATACTTGTATTGGTATCGGTACATCCCTAGTAAGTATGCATCTGTGAAGAGGGAAGGGATAGGGTCAGATCAAGGGGCAGGAAGGGTAAGTGCGCTTATCCTTTAAGAAGAAGCCCAATCACAACGGTTACTCTTCAACCTCATCTCACTCACAGGAATAAAAGGACGCCGAGACGAGTATTTATTTCATAGCAAATGTAGTATAGTTTATTTACCATGGATAAGAGTGACCGTGCCGGCCAGAGCCGGGCGGCCGTATCACCAGCATTCTGCCTATATAGAAAGAGTAAAAAATAGCTTGCTCAGTTAACGATTTCTTTCTTTTCTTTTCTTGATTTTAATTTTTTTCTATAAAATATAAAAAAATACGTAGGAGGAAGATTAATATTTAGTAAAATAAAAGGTGACGGAAAAAAAAAAAAGCCTTCGAAACGATTCTGTGGGGAGGACAATGGAGCCAGAACGTCCTTCTACATCCTTCCGCAAGGCTGATATGGCCTTTTTTTTGTTTTGTTCTTTGACAAGCTCTTGACGCTGCGGCCGGAAAATGTTTCGTATGCGTGGGTCGGGGCGAAACGCTGTGGACCTGTGAGGAGGAGGCGGAGGTTTATAGAGGGAGCGGGGAAATGGCGGACGTCCGACTGTCGTTGAACTGCACTTCCGCGTTTTTTACTCTCCCCGGGTCATTTAAAGGGGTGGTACACTTTTAAACTCAATTGGGGTTAGAAAGTGCGGCGAGATTGTTAAATTCACATATATTTTGTACTGTCTACCCTGCTCTCTCCTGCTTGTACAGGCACTTGAGGTATCCCGTAAACCCAAGGAAATAGGAACTTTTTGCCTTTCTGTTTTTTTGTCTACAGTCGGATACAAAGTTATTTGCGGCTTTTAAAGTGTCTACAGGCCCCTTGTTATGATAAACCAAGTGGACTTTTACCAATGGATGCAGTGGATAAGTCAAGCATAGGGGTGAACTTGAAAATTGAGCAATTTCATGCTCCCGCAATTTAAGCAAGTATCTGGAAGTTTTGACAAAATTTTGCCATTTCGGTGAAATGCATTGGAGCAAACGGAGGTGGTTTTTAAGAGTGCAATAGGCTTTATATAGCTCCTGAGGGTTAGGAAACTCCTTTTAACTACCCGGACCTGTTCTTGTGCCACCAACTGCCCTGCAGCACTCTGGGACTCCGGTTCAAACCCGGTCAGGACACTATCTGCATGGAATTTACTTGTTCTCCCTGTGCTTTGTGTGTGTTTCCTACGGGTACTCTGCATTCTTCCTAAACATCTAAAGACATGTTGGTAGGTTAATTGGCTCCGGTCTAAATCCCTCCTGCATGCATACATACAGGAGGCATTTAGACTGGAGTCAATTAACCTACCAACATGAGATAGGGACCTTAGATTGTAAGCTCCTTGAGGGCAGTGACTGATGTGAATGTGCATCTATGTAAACTGCTGCATAAAATTGTTGGCTGTATGTAAATACCTGTAATTAGGGATGCACCATTACTGATATATCGAGTTTGAGTACCAATATTTTTTTTTCCCCGGTACTTGCCGATACCAAATACCGATACCAGAAGTCCCATTAAGGAAGCCAGGCGGCGTGTAATGACTCACCACCTGGCTTCCTGATTAGCCGGGAAGCAGTCCCCATGCTTCTCACTATGTGGCGAGAAAGTATGGAGCCGGCTTTCTGGCCAATAAGGAAGCCGGGCACCGTCTAATCACGCGACGCCCGGTATCCTGATTGGCTGGGAACCCGGCTACCTGCTCCCTTGTCATGAGGTGATGAGGAAGCATGAAGCCGGCTTCCCGGCCAATCAGAAAGCCGGGCACCGCGTCATTACATGGTGTCTGGCATTCTGATTGGCCAGCTTGCCGACCAATCAGGGAGCCGGGCAGCGAGTCATTACACGCTGCCTGGCTTCCTGATTGGCTGGGAAGCCGGCTCCATGCTCTCTCGTTACAAGTGACGAGGGAGCATGGAGCCGGCTTCCCGGCCAATTAGGAAACCGGGCAGCGTGTCATGACGCGGCACCTGGCTTCCGGCTCCATGCTCTCTCGTCATGAGGTGACGAGGGAGCATGAAGCCGGCTTCCCGGTCCATCAGAAAGCCGGGCGACGCGTCATCACAACATGCCCGGCTTCCGGATTGGCCAGCTTCCCGACCAATCAGGAAGCCGGGCAGCGAGTCATTACACGCTGCCTGGCTTTTCCTGATTGGCCGGTAAGCCGGTTACATGCTCTCTCGTCACAAGTGACAAGGAAGCATGGAGCCGGCATCGTGATACAGGAAGTATCGGGCTAGGCATCGGAGCATTTGTAGTTCAATGACAGTCTGCCCGTGCTTCTCCTCGTTCCAGTTTAAACCTTTTGCCTTCCTTTTGAAGACGAGCTAGAGTATCCTTTCTTAAACTGGTAAATAAGGCTCACCAGTATCCTCCAGACTGGCGATCTAATCGGACCATCACTTTTTTTGGCAAATAAAATCTAATTAAAAAAATATCTATTACTTTTTTTTAAATCCACCATGCCACCAAAAATGGCTTTGGAGACAGTCGTATTCAAGGCATAGTCTCTGTTCCATCCAGAAAAATTGTTGTTCAATTTAAAGGTTGTC